ATAGAATAGCATGAAAATCAACTAGATAAACATATTCATTCATTAAAACCCTAAAATATCCATACATAAATGGTAACCCTAAAACAAGGGTTTCGGGTTTAGAACCCCTAATACCTTAGAGGACTACTCCATAAAGGAGGGAACAAGATACATAGAAGAGGTGGAAGAAGACTTAATGTTGAGGAAGATGGCTCCTCTTCTTCTAGCTCCTTCTCCTTCTTCTCCTCTTCTCCTTCCTTGAGCTTCTCTCTCTCTCTCTCTCTCTCTCTCTCTCTCTCTCTCTCTCTCTAAAATCCGAAATTCTATCTCAAAATCAGCTTACTTGAATGGGGAAAAGGGGTCTTCTATTTACCAACACAAAAGGACGAAGAAAATCAGCTCACTTGGAGGCCGCGATCTCGAAACGCTTCCATTTTTGCCTTTGGGGACGAGGAGATCGCGGGCTGAATTTGCGGTCGCGATCCACGAGTTGCAGCCTGTTTGTACTTCGGTCGTGTCCTGCCTGGGGAAACTCTCTGTTTCTCCTAGGCTTCTTCCTCGCGAAGTTCGCGCCTTGATCCCTCTAGATCGCGGCCGCGATCTTGGGCTTCCTGGTCGCGATCTTTGGCTTGACTTTGTACGCATGGTTCTCGGATGTGATCTCTAGCTGCACGCTGCGTTCTTCAGTCTTCTCCCCCATTTGCTACACTTGTGACCTTATTTTGTACCTAATTTTCATGTAATGTCTAAACTATCCTAAAATCACGTTAAAATCAAATAGGAACGAAACAGGGATTCAATTGACATTGTTCAAACAGTTATGCACATGAATTGGTACGAAACAAACCTTAATATGAAGGATAAATAACACCAATTTAGGTGTTATCAACAACCCACAACAAAGGTATTATACATGAGGGAAAAACATATGACAATTCCTTTACATATAATAATTCTCTCATTACCAAAAAAGCAGCAACAAAAAAAAAAGAGTATGCAATAAAATCCAACTCTAGAAGAAGATCCAGTAATGCTACTCATGAGTCTTGTTTCATTCTCAACATCCATCTAAGGTTATGATAGCTATTATCCCTAATCTCAATTACCTAAGGAATAACTATCATAAGTAATATGAGGCGAAAAGCTTACAAATAAAAGTAGATGAACCCTAAAACGTTTACAATAGAAGAGAATTTAAAAGCGATTAGAAAGACAATCCTTACGACCTGGTTGGACCCATGATCTTCGTCTCCGTTAGAAATGGAGAATGCTGAAATAGGCACAAAGGGCGGCAAACAAAAGAAGCACAAACACATTTATATAGTAGACAAAATAATAAAGTGAATGCAAAAAATAAGCACAAGAGCACGACAAACAATGGAAAACTAGTTTCTAATCACATGATTTTTTTTCGTGATAAAAAGTACACTAATAGTCACAGAAAAAATTCATGTAATTCGTTCTACTATTTTAGTCATGTGAATTAATTTATCTATTTTCACTTCCCATTTCCTGTAACTAATCGTTAGTCACAGTTAATTCCCATGAACAATGTAGCTGATTTTATATTTAATAAAAATTTACACTAAATTTTAGAAGAAGAATTTTCTTTAGCTCTATTTCTTTTTGTCTCCAAAATTTCCTTCAATTCTAAATTTTATTTATAATTTACCCCCTACATTATTTTTTTAGTAATTTTGTAAATATTTTGGATTTTTTCGGCATTAAAAAGTGTTTTTATTCGAGGGCAACGCAACGAAGGGAGATACATTGGAAGTAAGCACAATGAGTCTTAGTTCCAATTGGAGATGCTGAATTGGAGGAAAAAGGGACTCGTAGGTAGGGGTGAACAAACACACCCGCAAACCAACCCACCCGTCCAACCCGACCCAACCCACCCGTATTTATCGCTAAATTGAAGGTTTTGGGTTGGGTGAGGGTTTTCTTTTGTACAACCCGCCTCTTTTGGGTTGGGTTTGGATTTTGGATTACACAACCCGTAGAACCCGACCCAACCCGTGTTCCAATTATTGGTATGAGTTCGTATCCAAAAAAATATTTATGTCGTATATAGTCATACTTATGAGAAAATTAAGATATTTCGTCATGTTTTTCTCTTAAAGTCTCACTCATCTAATGCATTCTTCGACTTAAGTTGAAGTAAATCAAGTTTTATTAAAATTCAAACAATATTTGTGAATTTTGATACCTTTCACCTCGGTTTATTCGTTTGAATTTTTAATTTGTCATAAAATATTTTTATGATGTAGAATAATTACATATTTTGTGTTGGGTTGGGTTTTTACTTAAAAATATCGCCAACCCGACCCAACCCAATTAGAAACAAACCGTAGGGTTTCGTTTTGGGTGGGTTTGGGTTTAATATTTCCCAAACCGTAGTGCATGGGTCGGGTGATTAAAATGCCTAAACCCGGACCACCCGACCCATGTACACCCCTGCTCGTAGGGGAATACGATGAAGTAGGGGTGGCAGTTCGGTTATTTCGGTCATAGCCGATAACCGATCGGCCGATTATCTGTTAACGAAAATAACCACTCCCTCTATCGAAAACCGCCTGAAATAGGCTTCGATTTCTCGGTTATCTCGGTTATCGGTTAACCGAACCACTTTGAATACCAAAAACCATTTCGTCCAGCCTCCGATAATCGATCGAAGTTCGGTTACTTCGGTTATCGGTTAGTGGATAACCGGCCGGTTAACCAATAACCGGTAACCGAACTGCCACCCTACGATGAAGGGATTCATGAGCTTCACATGAGGTTAGATTTGGAAGAAAAAAATTATAACGAAGGTCTCTAAAATAGCTGGAGTAGATAAACTATTTGAAATTCGTGTGGTGTAGGTTTTAAAATCTAGTAATTTCAAAAGTTCTCTTTTTTGTCTCCTTTCCAAACAAGTGATTATTGCAGAATCTTATAGAATGAGAAATTGTGCCGAAATTCCTCATTCAAATCCCTCTCAAACATACGACCCTTAGAGAGGAGAAAAATCTGCCTAGGCTCGTTACTTTTCCATGGTTTTGTTCCTAAACGCTGTAACTTCTCTTTGTTTACGTTATACTTTCACTAATAATTTTTTTTGTTTATGTTATACTTTCACTTATAATTTTTTTATTCTCTGCCCTTCTGACACTCGAATCCTGCGTCCATCCTTGCATGAGAACATCACACCATGTGTTTGAATCATGGGGCCAACAAAAAAAAAAGAGAAGATTATAACTCTATTTATGATTTTTAACATGATATGTTTACTAGTTTTGTAACTAATTTGGATTTTCTCGACATTTAAAAAAAACACTTCTCGGAGGACAATGCAATCAAGGGAAATACATCGAAAGGAATTAGAAGGTATATGAGTTTCAATTGGAGATGCAAGATGAGAGGAAAAAGGGACTCGTTGGGGAAGATAATGAAGGGATTCTTGAGTTTCATACGAGGTTGGATTTGAAAGAAAAAATTATTACGAATGTTTTTAAAATAGTTGGGGTAGATAAGGGGACCGGTTAGCGTGACAAGTCCTAAGGGGGTTGTCAATCTCGCTTCCCCCCTCCTGGTCGTCCGTCCCTTTATTCCTCCATCCAACGATTAGAGATGGGCAGGGGCAAAAAAGACTGCTACCACACTGGATTGTTCTCCCATTTTCGCTAACGTCAGGGGTTTTTTGAAAAAAGGCAAAGAAATCGGCGGGGGGAGAGAAATCAGCCACCCTCCCCGCCGAACCGTTCGTATGCCCGCTCAACTTTGCGTCTCGCCCACAGAAACCCTTTCCCTTCGTCTCCCTCCCATAGAAACCCTTTCTCTCCTTTTTCTTCCACTTTCTCCGATCGTGTTTGGCGGCGAGTATTGGCAGTCGGTCGTTGTGAAGGATTTGTTGTCTCGGACTGTGTTTGGCGGCGATCATGTTTGAAGTCTTTGTTTGGCGGCGAGTATTGCGTCTCGCCCACAGGTACCACTACAACTTTTGCATGGATCGGTCTCCATTGATGCTTGTTTTCTCATACTGATTCGTCGGCATAGTTACACTAGTTGCTGCTTTCGGTCGTTCCCACAGAAACTCTTTCTCACCCTTTTTCCCGAATTCGGCGGCGAGCCTTGGTATTGTTATAGTGATATCGTTCTACTTGTTCTGTTGCAGGGATGGCCCGAACAAAGATCCCAGCTATACCATCTACGAAAACAAAACAACCTGCAGGTTATGTTTCTCGACAGGTAGAAGTCCGCTTGAGGGACTCTAGTGATTCTGATGATTCTGATGCTGGGCCTAGTAACAAACGATCACGCGATGAGGTAACAGAGAGTCACAGCAATAAGAAGAAGCAACGGATTGTACAGTCAAATCAAAAAATCTTGGATAAGAAGTGCAGTCCGACTTCAATCATCGAGATTGTGGAGGCGGGTATTTCAGCTGAGAGACAGGCGCTTATCAAGAAGCTTGGAATAAGTTGTGTGCTTAATTTGAAGATGAAACGGTTTTTCAGTACGTTGTTGTGTTGGATTACTAGGCTATTCGATGAGGAGACAATGTCGATAGCTATGCAGGATGGGGGGCAGCTTACCTTTACTGTTGAAGATGCCCAGCGGATCTATGGTCTTCCGCGTGGTCCAAAGATGGTGCCGGAAATTGATTCACACCATGAGAAGGAGCTACGAAACACACTACCGGGCATGGATGAGGCACTTGTCGGTAGGTACAAGCTGTGGAATTTGAGGAAAAAGTTTAGTACAGGGACTGCGTGAGGAGAGCCTTCATTGTTAACCGGAAAAGTAGCTATACCAATGGCAATCTGCATGTCCTGGTGGTGTGGTTCCTTGATAGGACTACAGACAGCTTGCAGCTCACCACAGATGTCCCGTCTTGCAAGTTATGGGACACCTCGGCCTGTAGAAAACGTAGTCGAGAATTGCTTCGCCAGTATGGTATGTTTGGTGCTGTCCCATACATCCGGCTTGATCCTTCGCCCCTCCAGGAACGGCCCAAAGCAACTCATGTCAAGAAGGAAAAGGCGGCACATAATACAACAAAGGGCAAAGGAATAGCTTCTTCTAGCACTGCTCCCCCCATTTCCGCATCTGCTATGGGAGTTCTTGACATTGCTCGAATGGGGCTTCTAGAGGTAATCCTTTGTCAACACCACCTCTTTGTGATTTGGTACTTGTAATTTTGGTACCACTGTGATTTGGTACTAGTAATTAATGTACTAGTAGAATTAATTTGGACAGCGGCTTCCCATTGTGATTTGGTACTAGTAATGGATACTAATAATGGATATTGGTACTACTAATTTTGGTACCACTGTATCATTATTAATGATACCAGTATCAATGATTCAGTTGACGAGTGAGTACCGGTTGCTAGTGCCATGTATTGGTACAAGTAGCAGCTGTACTAGTAGATACTGCTACTCATACTAATGCAATGGTTTTACTATTGTCCCATGCATCGTTTCAGGTGAATGCCCTTAAGCAGGGATTCCTCGACCTTTCCTCTACTATCGCTTCGAGGATAGCAGAGTGCGATGCTCGCATAGCTAAACTCCATGCTATGGATGCTGAGCGAATTGACATTGCAGAAGATGAGGAAGACGACAATGGTGCGGTTGATGGTGATGACGAGGACAAGGATGGGTTTGACCTTGCTGATGATGAGGGCGAAGATGGGGCAGCCTCGCAAACGAGTGAGGATGATGAAGATGGTGGTGATGAAGACAATGAAGACCAAGATGATGTTCATGATGGAAATGGTAGTAATGATGACAACGTCGAAGACGATGGTGATGGTTCCAATGGTAATGTTAATGACGACGAAGATGCTAAAGAGAACGACGAAGAAGGGAGTGTTGGAGAGGAAGAAGAAGAGGAAGAGGAAGTTGATAGTCCTATTGGAAATGGTAATGACGATGGAGATGGTGAGGATAAAGAAGATGGACGGAGTGTCAACGAGGAAGGTGGTGATATTGCACAAGGTAACGTTTCTTGTACAAACATCCAATACAGTAGAGTGGTACCAGTACCATATTAATGGTACTGGTACCAGTTCAGTGGTACTGGTACCATTCTAGCGATACTGGTACCATTGTAGCGGTACTGGTAATAATCTATCGGTACTAGGCCCTCATTTTTTCCTGTCGCATAAAGCAATTATGGTTGACCATTTCCCCATTCTAAATATTACCATTTTATTCCCTAGTAGAAGGTAACCAGGGAACGAAGCATGGCACAACAGAGAGTGCACTGGACTCTAATGTCACCATATCCAAGCCGGTGGCCATCATCACACCCACTTCTAAAACTGAGGGAAAGAAGGTTAGTGGTGAAGGGATGGTGAAGTGTAGCACACTCGTTGACGTTGTCCAACCTGGAGGTAAAACGCATTGGCTGTAATGGTTCAATTATTATTAGCATTTCCATTTCTATGGTACGCACAGGGCATCATGTGTCCACCATAACGATTTCTTTGTCTTTTTCTTAGCAGCTAATCTGACCAGGAGAGATGATGAGAAGGGGAGTGTGATGGACCCATCAGTAACTATAGCAGAGATGCTGGCCAGTATCAAAGCAGACCTTTCGTCGGATGATGTTGACGATGATTTCCAACAGCCATTGCCTCGCACCAAAGTTTACATACTCCGATCAAAGAGGCAACCCAGTAGTGCGATGTTGTCTCCCTATCGGGCATTTGATGGCACAGGACTTGTCCCGAAGCTGTCTATCGCGGGATCGGGCAAATTGACAGCCCAGTCATCTTCTGAAAGCGTATCCGCAACACACATAGACCCGTTGGACCCAATAACACTTGGCCAGCTAAGGTTGGAGTATGCTATTTGCGAAGAAGGAGACATGTATGCTTTGTTCCCTTTGGGTTGTCAATTTCACTAATTTCCATATATGCACACACCTTTTATTGATATTTCTAGAATATTGTCCAAATATGGTAGGGATGATGCTGAAGTGTTGAGCGCTGCTGCCGGGAGCCATTTTTCCCTAAGTAGAGCGGATGCAAAGTCAGCCATATTTGGCAACGCCATGACCACGAATTTTGTTGACTTCTACGCCGACTACCTGAACAGGAAAACCGGATCTGCTATGTCGATAAATAGATGGGTATTCACTCACGACTTTGCGGTAAGAATGTTTAAACAACTGCTCATCCCGATACTTTACATTGATGTTTTTGTAGTCTTTGTGGTACTGGTACGCTACAATTAATATAGTGGTACTGGTACCACTATAATTTTACCAGTACATTTGTACCAGTACCAGTAGAATCATTCCATAATAAATCTTCTATTTTCCCAAAATGTTTCGCCATACATTTCAGCAAGGTGTAGCAACACTAATGGATTGGGGCACTACCATGAACACGCAAAGTGAGTGGATCAGTGAGGTGTGTAATATGATCGAACAGAGCAAGTGGCTCAATGGGAAGACACTACACAACTGCAATTTGTAAGTAGCATCCAACTCGGCGATTTATTTATTTTTGGGTTAACACATCCCTCCTGAATTGTTGATTATTACCAGTACCACTTTAATTCATTTGAGATTAACTTTTTTGTTTGGATTCTGGATGATCACACTCACTTATTTTGCTTTTTTTAAACAGTGGTTCTTGCCTTACGTTGCTGCCTCAAAAATGGTGTTGTACTGCGTTAACTTGAAGGATAGGAAGTTCGAGTTCTTTGACGCCAGCGGTGGCAAATTTACACCCTTTCTAAAAGAACTTGGTCAACATGTGGTAAATTTTGTGACTCAGTACATCGATGTGGTTTTGAAGCTGAACTACAACTTGGGAGATTTCCGTTGGCGTGAAGTGACAGGTATTAACAGCTATGAAGACACACTCGGGGCAATTGTTTGCTTGAACTTCTGTGAGTTGTGGGAAGGCAAACTTCTGACCGTTTGGAAGAGAACATGGCGTGGACAAACTTATCTGAGGAGCAGGTCTGCTCAAATGGTTCAGAAGACCATTGAAGACCCGAGTAATTTGCAGCTGCAGGAAATGACTGGTAAAGCTATGGATATGCAAGAGGGACTACTACGTGGATACACCCAGGTGTCACATCAGTAGTAAAATCATTGGTTCATGTATGTTTGCAAATATGAACAAGATGTCATGGACAAAGTACTGTTTCATACATTGGCACTAATATTTTGTTTTTTATTTTGCTACTGCAATACCTCCTCCATATTTTGTTTTTTAATTTTGCTACTGGTACCAAAAACATTGTCAATGGTATCATTATTAAGATTGGTTCTTATAGTTAGTTAAAAATGTTACTGGTACCAAGTGAATGTTATTGGTACCAATTGAATGTTAATGGCACTAGAAACATTGCCAAAGGTATCATTATTAAGATTGGTACAAAATTAATGGTACACTGCGGCTGTTATTGGTACCAATAACATTTATTGGTACCAGACACATTGCCAATGGTATCATTATTAAGAATGGTACAGAATCGGAGCTACTGGTAGCATAAATTAAACTGGTACCAGAAACATTGACAATGGTATCATTATTAAGACTGGTACAAATCCGGTGCTACTAGTAGCATAAATAAGACTGGTACAAAATCAATGGTACACTGACGGATGTTCCTCAACTACCAAGCCATGTTTGTAACAAAATGTTATAAGTCTTTAAAGAGAGGGATAATGACAATTGTATCATTATTAAGACTGGTACAAAATCGGTGCTACTGGTAGCATAAATAAGACTGGTACAAAATAAGACTAGGTTTTCTTCTTCTTGCTGCACTCCTTCCTCTTGCTGTTGAGCTCGTGATTCAATTATTTTCGTACCCGCTCGTTTACTATTTCTCGAACCGACACTAGCCTCTTCTTATACATTCGCTTGTCCTGCCGCTGCTTCACTTTGGACCCTATACAATCTGCTTCATCATTGGGTTCTGGATTTGTCAAAGGGTCACCGTTCATGTTTTCAGCCCATTTAGGTGCTCCTGCACGGAAAGTTTAATCATGGGTTAGTAATCTTACCCAGCAGATACCTAATACTAGTATCAGTACACAACTAAAAACTCCCAATTTGGTACCAGTAAATTAACTGGTACTTTTTACCAGTGTGACGTGTACCAGTGACTGCAAACATGGGAAAAGGTAGTGCAACTTACTTCTAACGATGTCCTCAGCTTCTATTGTGAGCTTTTCCAAAGTAGAAGTCATCAGCTCATATACCTCATCATTTGCAGCAAGCCGAGTTGCCAAAACATTTATAGTCCCTGTCAACTTCTTAACCCTTGCACCCAAAGAATTTCGCACTTGTGGGTCAGGCTCATGTATTTTGAACTGCACTCCTTTCCTTGCATGCCTGGTCCATCTTGGCAAGATGTACTCATCACGAATTCGCCTTAGTTCCCGATTATGCCGACTAGAGCCAAGATGGTCCATTGTCTTCAGGATATGTTTGCATAACCAACCCCAAGTTTCAAAGTGATGGCAACTACATCTGAACTTTTGCTCTTCCATTTGTACATGGACAATCCTCTCGTCTGTTATATCAAAGTTTGGTCCTTCATAACGGTATACGTTGTATGCAAGCCAAGAATCTTCATTCAACTCTTCGTTCGGATCCATATAATATCCAAAGCTCTTGCCTACCTCATTCTGGAACAGTCTGAAAACATTGTAAGTGTAGAGCTTCTCCACCTGTCTTACGAAAACATTGTGAGAGTAACGAACAGGTGGTGCCTCATTAACAAGTTGGTGTTCCCGTTCCTGTTCAGTTTCCCTCTTCTTGTCTAGCAGCCTGTCGAAATGATCAAAAAACTGGGAGAAGTTGTGTTCTGATTTAAGGTGCTTCCGTAGGCTGTTGTTGCACAATTCACTCAGTTGCGAGCTCCGCATTCCATTTGTCCTATAGGCTTTGAGCCAAAGTCTAGACCATTTAAACCTGCATTCAAAATTAATCTCTGATATGATACTGGTACTTATTAGTGTTACTAGTACCAAATAAATATTACCGGTACCCAAAAGACATGGTATTATTAACCAAATCACTGTTACTTAGATTTAATCTTAGCACCATTAAATATACACTTACCGGTGTTTGCGGAGCTTCGCTAACCACCTGTGTCCATCCGGACCTTCCCCGGGGAAAAATTTGTCAATCATTCGATTCCACACATGGTCGAATTCCTCCTCTGTATCAATGCTATACATCAGGCAATGAATCTCGCTTTTCAGACCGGATTCATATAGTTTTGGACCCAAGTTCTTCATCCCATTCTGGTGTAAATGCCATGTGCAAAGACCATGGAAAGCTTCAGGAAATTGCTCTTTTATGCCTAGAGCAACTGCTTTTGCTTGGTCTGTAAAGATTGATATGGGTTGCTTGCCCGACATGCATTTGAGGAAACTCCTAAAAAGCCAAGAAAAAGAAGAAGCAGTCTCGTCGTACATAAGCCCAGCCCCGAAAATACACAACTCTCTATGATTGTTGAACCCCACAAATAAACCTGCAGCAAATGGTAAGCAATTATAAGAAGCACTAGATAAGTACCAATGACAAGTACCAGAGCATCAATGAGTACCAAAGAGTACTTAAATGGTACCAGTGACATACCTAATGGTCTGCAGCTTTGGTTAGTCCTGTAGGTCGTGTCAAAACTAATAGCGTCGCCAAAACATTCATAGTCAAACCGCATTCTACCATCCGCAAAAAATACGGGCAAAATCTCATCATCATCGTCCACTTGGATCTCGTAGAAAAAAGATGGGTCACATTTTATACGATTCTTGAAATATTCGTGGAGAACTCTTGCATCACCCTTCTCCATGCGCCTGCTCCTTGCCTTTTGCGTACAATTCTTTAGATCCCTCTTTGTGAAGGGTAGATTCTCCTTTCCGCCGGCCATAGCAGCAAAAGAATCATACGAGTTTTGAACAGGAATCCCCGCGCAATCGTTTATTTCAGCAAAGTATGCATATTCTGATGGCACCTCCCGATTTGAGCGCATAAAACGTCTTGAAAATGCATTGTGAATTTCATGCACATGATTGTCTGTCCACCGGTAAATCTTATACTTACCGGAAGCCCGCTCGTAGCTGCACATTGCAATAGCGTTGCAGCCAAAACGAGTCTCTCCCCTTTCTCGCTCATTTGGAGGCTCTGAGTCCACGACCTCTTCTGCATTCTTCGGGTCGAGCCTGCTGCCTTTTTTGTACCCTTGTTTGCTGCACGAACCTCCAAAGTAAAAAACAAATGGTTCGGGGAAGTATGACCTTTTCTTCTTAACTGCTCCAACAACTCTTGACGAAAAGCCTCTTCCATGAGCAAAACTCTTGTAGAAACGATTAAATTCTTCTTGGTTCTGGAAACGTAAGTGATCCCACATTGATTTGTCTGATGGAACGATGGATGTCAACACACCTACATAGAAAGAACAGATACATTAGTAAGTGATTACGACTGCAAATGAACCTGCTACATGACTACCACTAGCTAACTGGAACTATAACTATTAACTACTGGTACATGTACCAGTACATGACTACCACTACATGTACCAGTACATGACTACCACTAGCTAGCTTCAAATCCTAGCTGTACTGGTACCAAATCAGTGGTAATTGTGTCATTCTCCGGTACTGCTGTACTGGTACTATAGCAGTGGTATTGGTACCCATCTGGCAGTCCCGGTACCAATACAGTGGTACTGGTGCCATCCTATCGGTACTGGTGCCATTTTTAACACAATAATATTTGTACCAATAGTAAAACGGTACAAATGCAAAAGAAGTCGTAACGGAACAGGTAAACCCTACCGCCATAGTTGCAGACCACGCCGTCGTCGACATCAACGCGATCGCCAGAATGCCGCACGAACTTGTCATTGTTCTCTGTGTTATCATGCCGTTCAGGATGATCTTCGTTCAACGCCTCCTCCATGTCTAGAACGGGGTCAACGTCCACCATGCACGGATCAGCGCCATTCACTGCCGGATCCGTCTGCTCAGCATCACAGTCGTATATATCATCGTCGTTGATTGTCAGTGGGACGTTCAGGTCCAACCCAAATATACACGTAGATTCGACTCCCACCCATTCACTACCGTAGTCGTTGCTAATGTAGTCGTTCATGGCGGTGGCGGCCGTCGAGTGGCTGGTATCTTCCATAGCTAGATGACGGTTTTGGTTTGCCGAGGGAGAAGCCAGAAATGGAAGGGATAGAGTCTACTCTATTCTGCTCCCAAAATCACGTCCCCCAAATCACGTTCCCGGATTCTCTCCATGCAATTAATTTCCAATTTAAATTATTAGAATTAACCTTGTGCTTACTAAAAAACCCTTATTGTGATCCTGGCCGCTAGATGAATAAGGGGAACGGACGGCAACGAGGAGGGAAGCGAGATTGACAACCTCCTTAGGGGTTGTCACGCTATCCATTCCCGTAGATAAGCTATTTTGAAATCGGAGTAGTAGTGTAGGTTTTAAAATTTGGACAATACAAAGCTCTAGTTGTTTGTCTCCTTTCCAAACAAGGGATTGTTGCAAAATCATAAAGAATTGTCTCTAAACGTTGTAACTCCTCTTAAAGTGTATATTATAAAAAAAGAGTAAATACAATATATTAGTCACAACTTTTCAAGGGCTCAAATTATTAGTAACAATTATCTAAATACAAACAATTAGCCAAAACTATTATGGCCGATCAAAATATAACTAACTGTCGTTACGGAAATTGGCACGTTGCCTTCCACATCATATTATTTTGATTTATAATTTAAAAGATAAAAAAATAAAACCCTCAAATTGGAGGGTCGTCATTCTTTTCCCCTGCTTTCTCCGCTGTCCCACACCTACCTTTGATGCCACCATCACCATTATAATTGGCGGCACTTCCTCCGTCCCTCCGGCGATGACTTCCCAGATCCACTCCCTCAACTACTGAATCTCGCGGCCGCCGCTCTCACTGAATCTCGCCAGTGACAGTGAATGAAGCGGGAGAAGAAACGTCGACCTAGTCACTCTCACTAGTGGGGTTTTTTCGTCTGTGAGTTTCCTACGTAGCGAACCAATGTAGATCTAGAGTAGCCAATCGAAGAGAGAGATATATAGTTGTTGATTCTCCTCAATTCTGCATCTCATGCCATCCCCTAGAAGCTTATTGATAAAACCTTAATTAGTGTTATTTACCCTTCATATTAAGTGCTGTTTTGTGCCAATTGATGTGCATAAATGCTTAAACATCGTCAATTGCATCCCTATTCCGTTCCTATTTGAATTCGATGTGATTTTAAGGTGTGTTAGACGATATATTCGAATTAGGTACAAAACAAGGTCACAAGTGTAGCAAGGGGGCTGAAGACTGAAGATCGTGGCCTAGAAGTAAAGATCATAGCCGAGATCCTGGACCGCGAACACAAGCTAAAAATCGCGGCCTAGAAGCCGAAGATTGTGGTCGCGACTTGGAGAGCTCAAGGCGCGAATTTCACGAGGAAGGAGGCGAGGAGAAACAAAGAGTTTCCCCAGTCGAATCATGACCACAGTGCATTTAGACCACGACGAAGATTGTGGTCCCGACTCGCGGATAGCAACTGCGAAGTCAGCCAGCGATCTCATCAATCTCGAAGGCCAGTACGATTGCGTTTCAAGATCGCGGCCTCTCCTCTGAAGATCCCGCCCACGATCTCTGCCTTTCTGAACGCAAACTTGTCCGTTCTCTAATTGCCTATAAATAGGAGATCCCTTTTCCCCTTTTAGATGAGATGATTTTGAGAGAAATTTTTTTGATTTTAGAGAGAGAGAGAAGAGAGGGAAGCTGAAGGAAGGAAAAGAGGAGAACAAAGAGAAAGAGTTAGAAGAGAGGAGACATATTCCTCAACCTCAAGTCTCTTTCAATTTCTTCTATGTATTTTCTTCGCTCATTTATGGAGTAGTCCTCTAAGGTATCTTCTTCCCTTGTTTATGAATGTAAGACGTTGATGAATAGTTATGGGAGTGTGTGCTAGCAATTGTGGTTTTGTTGTGGTGATCAATGGTCAAATGATAGTGTTTTGAAACCTTGAATGCTATACCCAAGTTTTTTTAAATTTGAGTGTTCCAAAACAACTTGTTCCTTGCAACACCCTACTCGATATGCTTTGATTTGTTAGATGATTGATGTGTTATGCCTGCTAGGTGATAGTTGCATGATTAGAGTACTGCTATGAGGGGTTTTACTATCTTCTTCATCTTTTGTGAGTCGATAATATGTGTTATTTTAGGAAGAACATGTGTGCGAGATTCTTTATTTGTTTGATTTTTGAACTCAGAGATTTTAAAAGACTTGTACGCATTAGAAAAGAAAGAAAAGAGAGAAAATATTAGGAAAATGAGACTCACGTGAGAGGCAACCAATTCTCACGGATTCGGAGTGCCCTTTGAGGATATGCATGGGGATCGGATATTTTTATTGCATCCCAACCATCGTTCACTATTTACCATCCTCCATGCATCTTTCCTGCTCACGGAATCGCATGCTAAGGTCCAAAGTACCTTTTAGCAATTCATGAGACCTCATAGCTCTCATTTGTACCCAACATGTGTGGCAACCCAATGTGGAGGGCAGGCTGGGAAGTGGTGCTCGGGCTAAGATGAATCCGCCCATCAACTTCACCACATGTGACCTTGAAAGAGAATGCTATGATTCATCCGCTCTTAGTCATGAGGGAGAGATGCTTGTTTGCAAAAGAATTGCTAAAGTGGTGCAATGCATGTCAACGTTGAAAAAGGAGACCAATAAACGACAACTCCTAAATCTAAAGAGAGAATAAAAAGCACATTCGAGAGTTCTTGTGCTAATTTGTGTTAGAGAATCCCCCGGAGCACACCTTGAATGTTCGGCCTAAGGTAGTAGGTATGGTCCTCACCCGAGTGTTTGTGCTTTCACAGTAAGATATAGCAACGTTCATTCATTTCTGTCTACTCTTCTTTATGCAATGAAGAACTAGAGTGCATTCCCCGTTGATTTGTCTATAATGTTGCATTAAGTTTGAGTAGGTTTGCTTAAAGACAAGCAAACAACTAAGTGTGGGGGAGTTTGATAACACCTAAATTGGTGTTATTTATCCTTCATATTGAAGTGTATTTTGTGGCAATTCATGTGCATAAATGCTTAAACATCATCAATTGCATCCCTGTTCCATTCTTATTTGAATTCGATGTGATTTTAAGATGTGTTAGATAATATATGTGAATTAGGTACAAAACAAGGTCACAAGTGGAGCAAGGGGACAAAAGACTGAAGATCGTGACATAGAAGTAAATATCATGGCCGAGATCCAGGACCGCAAAGACAAGTTGAAGATTGCGGCTTGGAAGCCCAAGATCGCGGCTGCAACTAGGAGGGCTCAGGGCGTGAATTTCGTAAAGAAGGAGCCGAGGAGAAACAGAGAGTTTCCCCAGTCGAATCATAGCCACAGTGCATTTTGACCGCGAGGAAGATCGCGGATCGCGAATCAGCCAGCGATCTCCTCAATCCCGAAGGTCAGTACGACAGCGTTTCAAGATCGCGGCCTCTACTCTGAAGATCCCACCAGCAATATTTGTCCTCAAGTGATCACCGATTGCAGATTGTGGGGGAATTGCATAGAGAGGAAGGGGAGAAGAAGAAGAGAAGATGGTGGGGAAGAAGAAAAGACCTACTATTATTTTTGTTTTAATTTTTAAAAAATAATTAATTAGTAACTAAGTTGCTATGGTTGACCGACATTTTTTTATCGACTGTCACATCGGAATGTTTCTTCCACCTCAACATAATATATGCTAACTCACTATCTTTTGAAAGAAAATTTAACATAAAATTAACAGTTTGCTAATAATGTGTATTTCAATAGTTGTGTAATAATTTGAACACATAAGAATGGGAGATACTAATTAACGCCCTAACTTTTAAAAATTTATCGCCCTAACTTAAGTAATTTGACTTTTTTGCCCCCGTAATATTTCCAATTTCTTAACCAAATTTCGCCCTAGGATTTTTTTCCCATTGCCGGTGTTCGCCCTAGGAGTCGCCGTCGTTCGCCGCTGCAACTCGCTTATCTTCCCCCTCTCAGCAGATAGCCTTCTCTTCATCTTCTTCTCCATCTTCTGGCTTTCGATTCTTCTCCTCCTGTCCTCTACCCTCTTTCTTTCCTCGGGAAAATCCCTCATGGAGCTGATCTATTTTTACCTGTTTTCCGCTCTTCCTATCTAATTGGTTTTCGAGAAAATTTCTTGGATGCTCCATCTGATTATTTGGATTCCGAGCTCTCTTTACTTTAGGAATCAACTTTCTAGTCAAAATTCTCAAGGTAAAACTTTTGACCTGGGCAATTGGAAAGTTCGCTTATTCTTGGACAAGTTTTTACTTTTTATCTTTGTTGGAATTGCTTTGCTTGTGAAATTAAGCTCTGTTGCCGTAGTTGGCTATTAATATGGGCGACTTCCACAGCGATAATCCCGAATGCGCCGTGAAAGCAGAAAAGAATCCCTCTGCCATGCCTGCTCAGTGCGTCGATCAGGTTCAATCGGAGGTTGGATAGAAGATGGAGGGATACGAAGAGGCAGGGCGACGGCAGAGGAGGTGGGTGGCGTCGAATTCATTCTTCCTCGAGTTCGCGGCGGCAGAGGAGGTGTGCGGCGTCAAATCCCTTCTTACTCCCAAAGTCGCGGCGGTGGTCGTGGGCTGGGCAGTGGCCGGTGGGGGATTATTTCTTTTTCTTTCTTCTTCGATGTGCGGAGTAGAGTAAGGGCTAGGGCGATGGGTGGAGCAGAGAAAATTTAGGGATTGTGGCAAGCTGCTGCCGTTTTAGTACTTGGGAGGGATAGTATAGTCTATTTGATAAGAATAGGGCGTTAAATTTTAAAAAATTAGGGCGTTTAAATAAGAATTCTGGCTAATATATTGTATTTACCATAGAATAACGGGGAAAAAATCCCAAACTACACACGTTCTTAAAAAAAATTCCCAAAATACATACGTTATAAAAAAATTTCCCAAAGTACACATGTTTGGCATTCACCGTTTTTGACAAACGCAGTGAAGGTAATCACCGCGTTTGATAAAAACGGTGAACATTTCACCGTTTTAAATAAAAACGGTGATTCCTTCACCGCGTTTAACAAAAACGGTGAAGGCTTCACCGCGTTTAATTAAAACGGTGAAGGCTTCACCGTTTTAAACTGAAACGGTGAAGACTTCACCGTTTTTATTAAACGCGGTGAAGGAGCTGACGTGGACAAACGCGGGGTATTCACCTCGTTAGACAAACACGGTGAATACCCCGTGTTTGTTTACGTCAGCGATCCGGGCCAATTTGCTTTCACCGTGGCCGTTGGTGCGGTGAGACGCGGATCGTGGATTTCTTCCCACGATCCGACGCCTCACAACACGCCACGTCCCCTCGACATACACCGCGTTTGTTGACAGCGGTGAGTTCACCGCGTTAGTCAAACGCGGTGAAGGCACTCCAATTGAATGCTGCGCAGGCGCCTCCCCCCTTCCCCCAACTATAAATACCCCCTTCCCCTTTCACTTTCAACTCACCCCACAAACATTTCACTTCTTTCTCCCTCAATTTATCCGCTCTAGTCTCGTTCTAAGTATGCTCTGTGGTTGCGGCTAAGTCCGATCTTCCACATCAGAAAGAATTACTAGAGTTTGACCCTAAAGCCCCCGTCCCTTACAAACCTAAAATCGTCGAACCTCTGTCCGGCCTACGCCAAAAAATGGACGAAGAGGCTCTTCGTGTAGGTTTTTGGTTTATGAATTTTTTTAATCGAAACAATTTAATTTTTTGTTTTTTTATCAAAACAATCTCTGATTTCATTACTTTTTTATAGATGGGTGCCGAGATATACGATCCTCGATTGTATATCCATTATGGCCCAAGGGATGCGAGTCTCTTAACCGATCAAGAAGCTCATCGCTCCCGTGCTATTTGGGATAACTATCCGGTAATTTTTTGAGTATTCTTGCTTTATTTTATTATTTTCTAAGGTTTTATTTTGCTTTAGTTAATCTAATAAATTGTTATTTTCCCTATTTGTTTTAGGAATCGCTTGTTCCCGTGGTTCATAAAGGGACCAATAACTTGCCCGCTTGGCATCCAAGGTTGGAGCCCTACATAGCGAGGACCGGTTTGGGAATGTTGCGCCATTTCTTGCGGATCGAGATCGACAACGATCTGCTTACGGCAATGGCGGAACGATGGCGTCCCGAAACCCATACATTCCACCTTCCGGAGGGGGAAATGACGATCACCCTCAAAGACGTGGCGATCCTCACCGGGCTTCCTATTTCTGGAGATGCAATCATTGGTTCCACGACCAAACCCGAAGGAGGTTGGGGGGCCGCTCATACGTGATCGTTTGGGCTTCGACATGCCGACCACCACACCAATTCAAGGACGGGGGCATCCACCGTTGAATGCGGGGCAAGTGTCGATCCCGTGGCTGGTATCTCACATCCAGCAAGAGGTGGAAATCAATGACGAGACACCGGAAGAACAAGTCGAGCGCTACGCCCGCATCTACCTCATCGGTTTGGTGGGTGGATTTTTGTTCCCCGACAAGTCCAACCGGTGGATTCAAGGCATATGGTTGCCATTGCTCACTGGTGACTGGGATGCAATTGGAGAGAAGAGTTGGGGATCGGCCGTGCTAGCGGGCGTATACCGGGAGCTGTGTACTTGCTCGAAGGTTGGGGCAAAGCAAGCTGGTGCTGCGATGTTCATCCTGCAACTGTGGGTATGGGAGCATCTCCCGATGTTCGCACCTCCCGACCCACGTCCATTACCGGAGAAACGATGATGAACTCAACTTTCTGCAAAATCTCCCCTACGGTGTCAAGTAAGTTTATTTCGTACTTAGCCCAATTTAATTTTGATTGTGTACTTAGCTAGATTTAAATTGAATTTATTCCGTACTTAGCCCAATTTAATTTTGATTGCATGCTTAGCTAGATTTAAATTGAATTTATTCCGTACTTAGCCCAATTTAATTTTGATTGCATGCTTAGCTAGATTTTAATTTTATTTATTACGTACTTAGACCAATTTAATTTATTATATGCTTAGCTATATTTCAACTAAATTGAATCCGTACTTTTACTTACAAGGTGGATAGGAGCAAATACGAATGACCATCAACCTGAGCATTCGTTATTGTTTTATCGTTCTGAGTTAGATAAACCATGGTGGAATCAGGTAATCATATTCCAACCTTATTTGAACAAGTTAAATTTTGTCAATGTAAATGGTCATTAATTCCGAATTTTTTAATGAATATAGGTTATATGGGATCCATATCCACGTGAAGTGGGTGAGCTGCATCATCTTAGGCACCCTCTGGATCACGAGACGTGGTTGTGCAAAGTGCCATTGATCTGCTGGCACATGGTGGAATGGCACCTACCCGATCGATCTTTGAGGCAATATCGAATGGAGCAACCAATTCCACAAGACCCGCCAACCGGTTTCAGGGAGCTACATGCTATTGACCTCCGACACACTGCAAAGAACTGGGTGCTAAAGCATGGATTCTACATCAACATCTGGGAGAATCGGTCCCAATGGGTGGTGCAAGGGATGCCGGAGACGAGACCGATGGGCTACCACGATGGGTACATGCAGTGGTATCGGAAGTTCACCATGAGATGGGTGTCAAAGCAAGGTGCTGTGATGGGGTCGTTGGTAAGTCATCCTAATCTCCCTCATTCAAAATTCTATTTATTTTAAGGTTTAGTTAATTTGATAAGATAAGTGTTTTCCTTAGGTTGATGGTTTGGAACATGCCAAGTACACCCTCGAAAGTGCGCCAACCATGGATGAGCGGAAGACTAATTGGTTGACCCGACTTATGAACAACCTCCTGAGTTGTACCAGAGAGCAAAGGAGGGATGTCGTGGCCTATCCTCCCGTTCCTGCCCCGGCACGACCCTCATTCCGTGATGATGCACCCATTGTGCCCCCGGTTGAGCCCCCACGAAGGAGCAAACGCAGGCCTCTACCTACATTCGATGAGGTGCGTACAACTCGAGAAACCGAGATCCCTGAACCGTTCGAGTACCAGTGGGCACCTACAGCGGAAGCCGGTGGAGGGTCATCGAGTCGTGGAGCATCTCAGGAGTGGGACACTTTCTCTCAATTCCAACATCAGCAACAGAGTTCGATGTACCAGACCCCGCAACAACAAACTCCGCAACCTCCGATCATTCGCCAAGCTACCGCTCCATCTCAGCCACCACCACCACCATATGTAACCCCAGTTGGGGCTCGGGTCAAGAGAAATCCGCGAGGAGCCGTTGAGCGAGCCCGCCAAGAAGCAGCGGCGGAAGGGGGAAGAAGGGGTCGAGGACGTCGTGGAGGACGAGGAGGAAGAGGTGGAGATGGGGGCCAAAATGAAGCAAATGAGTGAATTTATCGTTTTATCATTGTAGTGAACTATCCATGTTGTTTTTGTGCTTTTTAGGTGTTGTTATTTGAGTTTGCATTGTCTAAAAACTATCATTTGCACTTAAGTTGTCGAATTAATTTTCTGGATCATTTTAGCAAGAATCAGTATCTCCCCTCAACACGAAAAAGTTGGGAAAATCAACCACGATCACATAGAATTTTACAGACCCCAATTCCGGGTCCAAACGAGTGAGATAAGTGAGTTCAAAGAGCGATCGTATCGTTAAAGTATCTTTTGCGTACTAAAAACTAAAACGCGCGTATCTTATTCGTTTGAGGTCGAAATAACGAGCCGTTTGCGGCAGCGCGATCGTATCGACAAGGAGAACATTTTAGAGTTAACATAATACTTGGACTTCAAATGTAAACGGTAATGAATAATTTAACAAGCCATTAATTTAGTAGCAGAATACAAGTAAATGCAAATTAAGTTGATGATGGTTGTCCTGGGCAACGCCTCTTGTCGTGACCAGGTTGTCTGCACTTAGAGCATCGCTTCGGTCCCCTTCTCGTCCGTTTAACTTGATCCATCTCATTGTGTATCCTTTCAACTCTAGGACGGCCTTTGGTGCGTTTTAGGTGCAACGGTGGGATAATCAACTTTCCAGCGTATATAGGCCAATACGCTTCATCTGGCATGGGGCTCAAAGCTGCATTATATGAGTTCCGTATCGCTTGTTCAGTGTAGTAAGGACTCACCAGGCTGTTTCTGTTCATGGTTATTGACTTAGCAACCGCCATTGCATGTGAACAGGGTATCCTTTCGTTCTGATACTTTTGACAAGAACACTCCCCTAATTCGTAGTGCAATTTTACCGTTTGACGATTGTGACCACGTCTCCCTCCACCCCATATACCTGTTTCGACAGCGAATATTCCTTCACTGCGGTCAAAAAGAACAACCTTATGCTTACTTGATTTTTCATCGTTCTTCTGCATTTGAGCAAATACGTCATGTGCTATTGAATGACCTTGCAACTCCCTCCCTATAGCTTGCTGTAGCCGAGCAACTCGCCACTCGTTGACTTTCCAGTAAGACATCTCCACGATGACAGAAACAGGCATCGCTCGAAGACCCTTGTACACATTATTTATACTTTCTCCATGGTTGGTAGTTGCAATGCCCCATCTGGCCCCGTTGTCCATATGGAACGTCCACATGGGCAACTCTTGACCTTCAGCCCATACTGCTCCAGCTCGGTGGGACTGACGAATTGTTTTCATCTTCTGCTCATACTTTTTTGGTTGATGTGCAACCGCTGAAAGGTGAACAAAATCGAAACTGGTCAATACATGATGAATAACATCAGCTTAATAAACACAAACTTAAATCGCATAAGAAAAACATTACTACCTGCATTCCAAAGTTGATTTTTGATGTCTTTCTTCTTCCAAATTTGTGCTGGAAATTGGCGAGCCAGTGTCGAATACACCATCTCCATCTCCATCCCCACTCGTCAGGAAAACCACCAACAGCATTCCTAATCCCCGCATGTCGATCGGATATAATCGTAATATCTTCCCGTTGTGTCACGTGTTCGTGTAGTTGGTCAAAGAACCATGCCCAACTTAAGCTGTTCTCCCCTTCCACTAATGCAAATGCAAGCGGGAAAATCCGCCTGTTTCCATCAACGCCAGTTGCAATTAGAAGACATCCTCTGTACTTCCCAGTAAGGAAAGTTCCGTCAACCTGAATAAAAATTTAGGATCTAATTAGTATGAAATTTACGTAACAGAAAATAATACAACATTTAAAATCGGCATCAGTTGGTTCTATACCTGAATAACCGGTATGCAGAACCCAAAACCGTCAATGCATGGTTTAAAAGCCCAAAAAAGACGATGGAACATCAGCTTATCCTGTACTCGAACTTGATCCTCAGTGTATACATTGTTGTATACTGGGACGAAAACAGTCCCAGGATTGGACTCCTCCATTGCTCCCATAAGTCTAGGGAGTAAAGCATAAGAATCCTCCCAATCACCATACACCTCAGCCATGGCTTTCTGCTTACCATGCCATGCTTTTTTGTACCGTATCGTGTAAGAATGTCGATCCTTCACCTCTGCCATGATAGCTTTCACCTTGATATCTGGTTGTGCTTCTATAAGGTGCTTAATAGTTCTCCCAACTTTCTTTGCTTTTAGTTGCCTGTGATCTTGGGAAAGTATAGAAGAGGAGCATGTGTGGATCGTCTCAGCTTTGCGAATCACCCAAGCACCCTTTCTCTTCATATTTGCAGCCCGCAGTTGCCACGTACAACCCTCTGCATCATGCTTGCATATGACATGTAGTTGTTTACTGTCAGAATATTTTACCTTCCACTCGAAATTGCGCCTCAACGCCTCTTCTGTAAACGCATCCTGCACAGCGTCTTTCGATGGGAACGCCATACCCACCTCCAAATTGGCCGTCGGATTGTACACTGGCATAGGGACATAATCAGGGGGATCATTCTGACTATGTAAAAATTGAGTTGGAACCTGTGTGTAATATGGCGTGGGTGCCTCACGAAATGCCGCCTCATCCTCGTTATCATCAGTATCTTCCTCCTCCTCGCTCACTGATCTCAAATCTTCCTCAGTATCCTCGTCGCTCGACTCGAATGGATAGCTCGGGCTAGAAGGATCAACATGACCACGATCACCAACATCGTCCTCTCGCTCATGCGAAGTACGCCCTGATCGAATGTTATTCTCGATTTCAGACCACTCTGGCCCCCAAACAGGCCATTCAACACCATCGGCTGGTTGAGGAGGTTGCGAGTATTTGTCCCATCCTGCACTACTCGATCCACCGTAGTTGATTGAACCACCACCCTCCCCGTAACCTCCTGTATAACCACCGCCTTGGTAGTTGCTCGAACTACCACCCCATTCGTACCCTCCTGCAAAACCATCATCATAAGAATACTGGTGAGAATGAGATTCACCGACCGCCTCGGTCTCAACATACACCTCTGCAAGCCGGACTTGGTTATCGCTTAGGAACTGTAACATCATCGTAACCGCGTCATCATCGTTTATGACAACTTCTTGGAACACGAGTCCGCCAGCACTCATGTCTGGATACCGGTAAGTAATTTTGCCAAGTCTCGTCTGTCCGCTCGTACAAACCCTTTCTGCACAAAGATCACAGAGTTCTTGAAAATTGAATCGGGAACCAATGTTCAGCATAATGGATTCGCCGTCCTCATAATCAATGCCTATGTCAGAGTTTGTCACCCTTCCATTCCACCGAATAGTAAGATGAAACTTCTTGAATTTACCCATATCTACAAATCGAGGATAAGTATCTATTAGCTTAAAGACAGTAAAATTAACCAAAATCATATTGTACAACTAATATTATCCATCTCATAACTAACGAACATAAATTCAACTAACTAACAACAACATAATACGAAAATTAAATCATACTATAACTAACGAACATAAATTCAACTAACTAACAACAACATAATACGAAAATTTAATCATACTATAACTACTAAAAACATAATTAGACTATAATACGAAAAGAGACATACCAAAAAATGTCTGTTCTGCTCGATTTATTTGCTGAAATTTGAAGAAGGGGGGAGTGGTAAGTTTTTGCTTCTGCTGGTGGGTTGGTATTTATAGGAAAATTTGCTACTATTCACCGTTTTTGTCAAACACGGTGAACACCATCACCGCGTTTGTCTCAAACGGTGAATACGAGGTAGGTGTGACCTAATTCTGACCTACCAGGGGTGGGAAACGTGGGAAACAATCACCGCTTTAGGTAACCACGGTGAATGTGTTCACCGTTTTGCACTAAAACGGTGATGTATTCACCGTTGTTGACAAACGCGGTGAATACATCACCGTTTTTGATCAAAGCGGTGAATACTTCACCGTTTTAGTTTTAAACGGTGAAATATTCACCGTCTTTGTCAAACGCGGTGATTACCTTCACTGCGTTTGTCAAAAACGGTGAATGCCAAACATGTGTACTTTGGGAAATTTTTTTATAACTTATGTATTTTGGGAATTTTTTTTAAGAACGTGTGTACTGTGGGATTTTTTCCGAATAACGGCTTGTGCTTGTGCATGTAAAACAAATTGCGTTGCTTGGCTTGGATAGGACGGCGAGAGATGATCCGTTCTGCGTCCACTACATATATATCCAAAACTAAAGTGGAAGCGTCGGTTGGTTGTCGTTTTCCATGGTCGTCAGCCTGACCGTCCCACTGCGGACCGTACCACTCAATCATCAGCCTTGCCGCAGTTGACGACTATTATTGATTAAGAGTAATTAAATACGACCACTCTGCCGTCCGAGAGCGAGTGGGTGAGTGAGACTAATTGGACTGCACACTGTCTTCTAGTCTCGCTAATACTCAGTCAAATACGCGAGCGAGCGATTCACATTCACTTAGTAGTAGTCCAGAGCCAGCCTGCAATTTTCCCAAAGCTGCTCAACTCAACTCAACTGTCTCCTTTCCGGCGGAAGAGAAATGGCCAAGGACATCGGATTCTTCCAATTGAGCACCGGAGCTAAGATGCCGTCGGTGGGTCTCGGCACTTGGCAGGCTGAACCCGGCGTTGTCGGTGCCGCCGTCGAGGCCGCCATCAAGGTCATCACCCACTCCTACACCCAAAATTTCAGGTCTCCAAAACTCTACCGTTCCTGCT